AATGCACAAATGCAGGCATTGCTTGTCTTCATTTCATTTTGCAGGTATTGAATGATCAACTGCTAATACTCCTAATGATAACACCATGATATTTTTGGTGGGGGGGATGTCAGGATGTTTGAAAATGGTTTCTTTAAAATTCCATTCTGTTATAAGTCTATAAATAAGTTGACCCTGCCAGCCTGCCAGAGTTCCATATGGTACCGTGTGTATTTATAGTAACATGGTTTAGACTGTGAGAATGGTAGATTCAGGTAATACCATGGTAAATAGACTTGGTCAGGTGTTGTATTAAAGGAATACCACCTCTTAGAATAGGAATAAAGTGTAAAGTCTCAAAATAGGTCAATAAGTTTAAATATTCATACAATATATCCATTAAATTAAGTAATTATTGAGAATAAGCTTAAGCTGTTTCAAATTACTTAGTCTAATAAATTACATAGTTTCATGTATTTTTTGGATTACATAGGGATTCCGTTGACACAAGGCCATTTGCGAACAAAGACTCATTTTGGCCGAGTTTAAAAATTTCAATTTTTTTGTCATCCTTAGAGGTAGTATACCTTTAAAGAGATTGTTAAGAGGTTTTCTACACTTTCTTCTGAGTATCTTCTGAGTTACTGATAGCATCTTTTTGCAACATTCCCATTTTCAGTCAGACATCTGTGGGTCACCAAAAGCTGCTTTTAATTTATTCCCAACTTTTGCCACTGTGACTTCACAGTTAAGCAGTTGTCGTGGATCCTGCGATTCTGATAAAACTAAGCTAAAGCTGCTTTTAATGTATTCCTAGCTTTTGAAAAAGTAATGTCTTTACAGCCTTTGAATACTGTTTACACATTTACTCAACATTTCAGAGTTGATGTCATACATAAGATAAGGGCATTATAGTAGAATGAAAATCAGCAAATCTTTCAAAATTCTTCATGATAGGTAGAAAATACTCAACTAATACGAAAATACAAAACCAAAGTAATCAAAAACTAGAGAGGTAAACATTTTAACCTAAACCACACGTTTTTGAAGGTTAGTAATGATACAAGTTAACAAAGAGCCTGCTGTTTAATTTGATAAACTAGACTTTAAAATAAAAAATATTCTGGCAACGCTTCAACTGATAGGTTGGCAGAGTTTTCAACCATTTGTTAATAGTTTTACTACAAATTAAATGCTTAAAGAGACTTGTATATCAGTGTTCAATAAGCCAGTTTGGAGTTCTGATTACTTGCGGTACCATATAAAGGAGATAATATGATAAGCATGCATATAACAATTTCGCTCTACTGAAACATGAGAGAGGTTTTGAAAATAAGTGAAACAGCTGTAAATATTGGCACATTTAAAAGACTCATTAAATTGTGTTTGAGTGTTCTGCATTGTGCATAACATCATAAACACCGTATTCTTTACGTCTCCATATTGTGGTCCATTACGATCATGTTGCTATTATTTGCAATGACCTTTAGACCTCAATGAATTGCCTCCATTTAAAAAGGTAGGTTCTTCTGCAATGCGAAACTTTTAACATACCTCACTTTTTATTAGCCTTTATTTTTAATGTAACCACTTCAGTGAGGGTCCAAAGACGGGCCTCTTGAACATTTGTTATAATTACCTTTTGACCTACCCCTGTTTTAACTATTCAAATTTCTGCAATCTCCAGACTGAAATGACTAATGATGTCAAAGTACAAGACAGTTTTAAATAAATTTTGATCGAAAATTTTGAAGATGAACTTCAATGAAATACTGACCATGCTGTAGGTAGTCCGAAACATCTTCTATTCCAACAGTTGTTGGCTGGAGTTGCGGAAACATCCCCATAAAACAGGGTCTAGTTTTTCTGTCTATCCAACAACTTTCAAAATAGCTATCAGAAGCTGGAATAGAGGCTGATGTTTCTGTCTATGCTGTAGGTATATTATAATATTGGCTTAGAAGTTTTAGATGAAACATTATCAGATATATATCTAGACTTATTATATAATATTATCCTAGAGAATTACAACCTACCTAGACTTGTCATTATTATAACTTATATTTATCTCCAGTTCATCATATATACACTCAGGATTCAGACTGGTTTCAGACTGAGCAGAATTGAACTTGGTCAAGTTAAGGTGTATTTATGGATAAAAGTGGAAGAACAGGATTCAAGTTATTTTCGTCTTCTGAGGAGAATTTAACTTGGTTAAGATTAGGTATATGTATGGATAAAAGTGGAAGAACAGAAGTCAGGCTGGTCTCGTCTTATGATCTGGTCAAGAACTTGGTTTAGTTAAGGTGTATTTATGGATAAAAGTGGAAGGACAGGACAGGATCCAGGCTGAAGTTTTGTCTTCTGAGTAGAATTGAACTTAGTTAAGGTAAGGTGTATTTATGGATGGAAGTAGAAGGACAGGATTCAGGCTGAAGTTTTGTCTTCTAGCTAGTAAAATTGGACTTGATTCGTGTTAGGAGTATCTGTGGAATAAAGTTTGAGAATTTCAAAGTAATTTCATTCAGGATTTGAAGTTTGTCGAATGAATTACTTTGGTCATTTATTAGAAATGGATTTCTTTAATATAATGGGAAAGGACTTCATAGTATATAGTATATACCAAAATTTAAGACGCTTTAAGTTGGTAAAACCAAAACCATGTTTTGTGTTTTGAGAATTGGACTTGTCTTTATAAACTGATTTACGAAACCAAAATAGTAATCTAAGCTATTTAAACCCATCAGTTCTATCTCTCTATATATTTAAAGGGAAGATTGTTATTGATTTTTATTATGAAACCTATGGTGTGTGATTACCTAACCAGTGACAGTCAGCTGAATTCCCGTATCACGATTATCTAGGATGATGGAAAATTTTAAAATTTTGAATTTAGGAATCTGTTCTGTTTATTAATAGTTTATTTTTGATGGTTTGGTTTGAATTTATAAAGTTTTTGCTGTTGTAAACTAGAGGATTTTGTTTACATGGAAACATGGAATGAGTGTCAGAAATACAGAAGATAAAGACTGGTACAGAAATTGACAGTATAACAGTGATTGGATCTTGATTTTTACCATTATAGTAGTGGCGGGTGTCGTGAGTAAAGCAAACCATGCATATTACTTTCAAAACACCTGATGGTACTTCTTGTTTGTATGATTTGAAGTTCAATTTATTGTGAAACAGGCTGCAGAGTTCAATATTAAGATTAAGTTCATTAAGTTCAATTTTACCATTAGATTAAGTTTAATTTTATCATTAGATTAAGTTTAATTTTACCATTACATTAAGTTCCATTTTACCATTACATTAAGTTTAATTTTACCATTACATTAAGTTCCATTTTACCATTACATTAAGTTCCATTTTACCATTACATTAAGTTCCATTTTACCATTACATTAAGTTCCATTTTACCATTACATTAAGTTCCATTTTACCATTAGATTAAGTTCCATTTTACCATTACATTAAGTTCCATTTTACAATTACATTAAGTTCCATTTTACCATTAGATTAAGTTCCATTTTACCATTAGATTAAGTTCCATTTTACCATTACATTAAGTTCCATTTTACCATTACATTAAGTTCCATTTTACCATTACATTAAGTTCCTTTTTTTTTTTAAAGTTCAATTTCAGCTATCCATATTTTCAAAATGAAAATCTGGTTTGAACTAGATTAAGGTAGGTTTTTAAGACTTTCTGTGCATCCTCTCATTCATAGGTCACGAATGACTTAAAACTTAACTGAACTGAACTGGTGTCACAAACAGGACTCAGGAATTGCTTTATGAAATATAATACAGAGAGCTGAGATTTAGCTAGTTGATTTCTGGTGACTCTTAACTGATACTAATACAGGAAATGCAGGACAGTTATCAATGTAATCAAGCATTCATGAATAATATTATGATTATGCAGTACACAGTTTTGATAGTTATGAGTCAGTTCTCTCCTGGTAATTTAGGTTTTTAACTGAACATCTGGTATTTTCATCTCCTTAATGCCAACCAAAAAATATTTCACTTGGTGATTCTGTCTCAAGTTATGAGATGTACTTTTGGCATTGTAAGAAATAAAATTGATTAGAATTTGATTACATTCCAAGAATATTTTGAGTTATTTTCAAGTTTGAAGTTGAATTGAAGTTGTCTGTGAAATTTAGCCTCTCTCTGATTTGTTATTATTGTGACAATGAGAAGATTGTAACTTGTGAAACAGTGTCATACTGGTGACAGCAATATGTGATTTGATTTGATTTGATTTTTGATATTAAATTTTTGTTGTGACTCTAAGCTTGCGTCTTTTAACTTAATCCTGAGTCACAATAGCTCAGTGAGTTAGACGCTTGCTCGCTAACCTGAAGGTCTAGGGTCCAATTAGATTTTTCAACATGGTTTCCCACTATCAGTAATGCAGGTCAGAGGAACTGACATGGAATAGCGTCTATTGTTCAGATAGGAAAATAAGCAGTCTGAGCTTGTTACTCTTAACTAATTGTGATCTGATTTGATATATATATATGGTATTGAATTCTTGATTTTATTCTGACAATGTCAAAATTGTGACTGGAAAATTGACTTTTTATATGTGATACTTTGTGATACATTTTAAAAAATGATTGTTACTTTTGGGATGCCATATGTTTGTAGAATTACTGAAAGTTTCAGTTGACTCCTACAACTGACATTGTTATATNTAAGATGCCATCTTTTTGTATAAAGTATAAGAAGTTATAGTTTAAACTTAAAATTGTGATACAATGTATATGTTGGATTAGTGATACCATATTTTTGTACTATGTTCTAAAAACTTTAGTGGATACAAGTGATGCGTTGTTATAAAGTATAAGATTTGTTAAAGTTTTAGTGGAGGCTGTAATTGTGATACAATCTAGGCCTGTGTTATGATATGATATGATATTAGTGATGATATTTTATGCTGTGTGAAACATCAATATTGATATAACAATATGTTGACAAGTTGAAAGATGAATATTAATTAGATAACAACAATGTATAAATATCAACAGGTAAAATCTATATTTTTACTAGATTATTTATTCTAGAAAGCATTATTCAATCATTTAGAAAGTAGAGTGTGTACAAGACATTATCTATAGATGTTATTAAAGGGATTGTAAAGAAGGTTTCTTATATATTTATGTGTACCAGGGACACTGATAGTATCAATTTGTACCATTCTAATTTTCAGTCAGACATTTGTGGTAGCTTCAACTCCACTCAAACTAAGTGTTTGATGACATTAATCTGGAAGGACTTGTATGAAGAAGCATATTTAGTGATTAGTGACATCATTAAACATTTGATGGAATTCAGGAACCACAGACGTCTGAATGAAAATTGGAATGGTGCAAATTGATCAATATCCCTAATACACAAAAAAAAAAAAAACCTCTTTACAATCCCTTTAAGGACTTGAATAGATAGATTTGAATATCAGAATGCATGCTAAACATCTGTTTCATATTATGTACATAACGGTATTGGAATGAATAAATTTATATCTTGCAAACATATGGGCATGTAAAGGGTACAAAAAAATGCAAATGTGTTAGGAAAAGAGAAAATGAATGGAGGGCCAAATAAGTACAATTCTCGATATTGTATAAGGTAACTTAGAGATATGGCATAAACAAAATAAGATATGAATAAATATGGCAATGAATAAATGAATAAATATGGCAATGAATAAATGAATAAATATGGCAATGAATAAATGAATAAATATGGCAATGAATAAATGAATAAATATGGCAATGAATAAATGAATAAATATGCAGTGTTTAAAGAGCTATTGATTTTAAGGAAAGGCTATGTAAGTACATGTATTTATAAGGTACAACACATCTTCACAATGTCAAGCTATTATGAAATTCGTCTTATACCTTGACTGCAATAGTCACCTTTTTTGTATCATGGAATGTAGCGATCAAAGCCTTCTACAAAATGACTGTAAACATGGCTAATCATTTACAGACTTTCTGTTTAGACCTCTGATTACAATCCAATCAAATTGCTGCTTACTTCTGTAACATGTAAAATGTGTCTGTTGCAGTCAAGGAATTATATATTCCTCTATAGGGTTCCATAGGATTTATGCCTCTATAGGGTTCCATAGGATTTATGCCTCTATGCATAAACAAATTGAGATAAGAAACTATGTGTAGTGTTTAGAGAGCTATTGATCTATAACAGGGCAATATAAGTATATCTATAATTGTCGAGTACTGGTAGATAGAGAAGTTATATGTTACATACACTATTATTGATTTTAGACAGACTGCTTGTTTGTCAACCAGTTGTCATTATATTCTCTTTACAAATTGTCTGCTCGATGTTCTAAATAAATCCTTCCTTAAAACATTGTGCAGCGTTGGTTCCCTAGGATTCAGTAGAAATAATGGCTTAAATTCGTCAACCTTGTGAAGTATTCAAAGCTAGACTTAAGTCAATTGTGTTGAATAGTGAAATGGATTAGTTATGAATTGAATGGATATGAAGTGAAGATTGAATATAGGATTTAGTATAACTAGTCAATATACAAGAATGTCAAGGACTCTTTGATTCCGCCAGACTGACCTCGCAGTTCAGTTGGGAGTGATGCCAGAGTGTATTAGAACCATAGATCAAATTTTGGAAAGTGAAAATAAAATAAGGAGTGTATGGATATCAAAAGTAACCAGAATTACAAGGGACTGGTTAATAGTGCAAAGAAAATAATTCTAGAACACCAAGACATAAAGTTTTATGATCAGTGTTAAAAGAATTTTGTAAAATATTTATTTCTTTAGGAATGTAGGATTCTCTTGAGAGTTCTTTACTGTGTATCTGAGACAAAACAATAATTTAGGAATTAATTGTTGTCTGTATTTGGATTATAGATTTTTGAGAGTGAATAGATTTATATCATGGCTGAAAGACTGATTTCCTCCAATATTCACGGATTAGGTCGATCATCTTCATTCAGATTATTTGTAAATATATTTTCTTCCTTGTGGACGGAAATTTGACATCATTTTTCGTGGTTGACTCGTATATAGAATAATAATAATAATAATAAAAAACACTTTATTTTACATGGGTCAGAATAAGGACTAATACACTATGACAAGGTCCTGTCTAACATTCAGCCCATGGGGACAAACATAGACTCTTTATTTTACATGGGTCAGAGTAAGGTCCCATACTCAAAGACAAGGTTCTGTCTAACATTCAGTCCATGGGGACAAACATAGACTCTTTATTTGACATGGGTCAGAATAAGGTCTAATACACAAGGATATGGTCCTGTCTTAACACAGGGACAATATAATGATATATATAATAATACATTACATTAGTATTAGTCAAAATTCTTTGAGAATTGCAAATGGCAGCCATTTTCATAATGTTGAAAATTAAGGATCACGTCCCCTATTAGTATTCATTTCTTCAAAATTCTTTTAACTTTGCAACTGGCAGCCATTTTTATATTTTAAGTAAATATTTTTTCAGAATTTATTTTGGCAGCTGTATTAATTTTTAATGTTGCTATATTTTCAGAATCTAGGAACGCGGTCGTATGGAGGAGGAAGTACATCTAGTTATGATACTGGACGTTATTCATCCACACGACCTACATCATATAATGAATATTCACGTTCTACTACCAACTTAGATACAGACTATAAAAAGGTAAAACAAGACTTCTTAAATTGTTTGACATTCATGAACGTCTTCAAGTTTCTATAATCTTTCTTCAGCGATAGTTTCAAATTTGGATTCAGGAAATATAATAGAAGATTTTAAACCCTTTTCATGTGGATTTGTTTTGTCATCCATTTCATTCCTTCAAGATCGTTCATTGTTCACACAACTCTCAATTGATAAGTCTCCATTACATATTAAAATTGTAGTTATATTTTAGTTATATTTTATCTAATAAATTATAGTTATATTTTATCTAATGAATTAATAAATTGTAGTTATATGAAGAAGAGAAATCCAGTAATGAAAAGTTACGTAAAGAATTAGAGCAGTGTAAACAGGAATTACGCGAGTCCAAGAAAGAACTGGATCGAGTTATGAGAAAACAGAATGATAGAACAGAATCAACCAATGAAAAACGAGTAAGTAGTGTATCGATTAGCTCTACAAATATGGCCCTTCCTATTTCACAGACTTGATATACAGTTGCGATATTGTTACAGTCGCTGGTTTTGAGAATTTTCACGAATTCTAGTTAGGGGGTATCGGACAAATCTGATCCTACCCAGTTACATAGGCGCGTTGCGATATCGTTACAGATAGAGCCAGACATCTATGTCACTCTTTGTGGGAATTCATTTCTTGGATTGTTACTTTCGAGAATTTTCACCAAGCTTAGTTAGGGGGTATCCGACAAATCTGTTCTATCCAGTTTGCCAGACTTAATAGACAGATGTGATATTGTCATTGTGTTTAGCACCAGACATCTATTATCGTCTATATAGCTGAATGTCATTGAAATTTAAACATCTTTTAGAAAATTAGGATGGTTGAAAAGTTACTTGAGAAACTGATACTTCACTTTGAGGTAACTTATATTGTAGGCCGTAAGATTGTCACCTGTATAAATGTGTCACAATAAATATGGGTATAGGAATATACCTGTAGAATCATCGGTACTTTAAAATGATCATAAAATACAATATTAAGATCTTTGATTGGTTGATCTGATTGCAGTGAAAATGTCAACCAATCAGATTTGTTGAAATGATACATACGTTACAAATTATGATCTTTTCGACGACGTTCATCATTTTGTATTTTTTTTCAGGAAAAACGAACTTTAGAAAGAAAAATATCTGAGATGGAAGAAGAACTGAAGGTTTGTAGATTGTTTTTGTCCCTCGTAGAATTTACCATATTCTATTTATTACTATCTTAGTTATTGAAATAGAATATTGCCCCGTGAGATTTGAAGGTAAAACTGATCAAGGATTCGAAAGAGCTGCTGAAATCGCAAGCTACATTGTGTGAATTTTATATATCTTAGAATTACATACATTTGATTGCAAAAACATAAGCAGCAATTGGATTCATCGTACATCGTAGTTGCACAAGACTGTGTTTGCGTGTTTATTTTGGAGATTTGACCACAAACAGGACCCCATACAAAGGGAGTGCCAAAAATATACAGTGAAATATATTTTGAACATTTAAAGTTGCTGTCTGATATTGACCAAAACCAATGATACCTTATTTGTCTGTAACAAAATATCCTCTGCTTTTTCCCCTGATGCTCCATCTTGTCCATGTATTCTCATGCTAGCGTTCATTTACATCACCCAATCAAACCGACAAAATAAAATAATAATTAAAAAGAAGTGATAGTAATTGTATATCAGGCCTTTCAATGAATTTGGAAATTCAATATTTTAAAAAAAAATTCTCAAAAAGAAAATTCTTATTTAGAAAAAAGGATACTGCATTTTTATTTCAGGCCTCTTGATGAATTCTAAAATTTGATATTTTACCAAATTTTGTTAAATGTGACAAAAGATTATTTTTGATTAAAGCCACAGTCATTGTCAGACAGTTGGTGTTTAATTGATATTTTGAGATTCTCGTGTGACTTACAAAATCAAAATTTAGCAGATCCAAAAGATTTTGGTTTGAAAATTTTAAAACCCTTTTCCTGTAGAATTATTTTGTCATCCATTTCATTCCTTCAAGATCGTTCATTGTTCACACAACTCCAAATTGATAAGTCTCCATTCCTCTTGTAGCAAATGGGAAAGATAAAGGCTGAAAATGCCAAATTAAAAGATGAAAATCGTGCCCTAACTCGTGTGGTGTCCAAACTATCGAAATAGGTAACATGCTCAACAATTTTAACTTAAAATCCTTTCCATATTTATAATATTTTGAACCTGCCAGTCGAAATATTGATGCTTTATGTAGTCTTCATTTTCAAGATCATTTTCGAGATTGATTTTCACAATCTGGCTATTGGCACGTAAAAAGGAAAGCTTAAACCTGAACTTTATTCAAATTTTTATTTTTATTTATTATAAATTATATGTATATATGAAATAGAATATTGCTTCAACTTGAAAAAATAGTTAAGTTTGTTGCATTTTCAACCAGTTTTAGTGATATTTTTGAGAAAAAAAATTTTCAATATTCCAAAATGACAGCAGGATATTAAAGTGCTCTTCAGGCAAATCCAGCCAAATTAACGTACCTGGTGTATGTTACCTTGCCTTTCACACGTTATTTTTACAACCAAAAAATGTCCTTAACTTTTGTTTTTCTCTAATTTTTATTCCTTTGTAACATGGAAAGGGTTTTAAGATGATTTGATTGGTCGATTTTGTTAGAGCATGTCAACCTCTATGGTCTGGTAACCATTGGTAACCATGGCATGTAACTGCCTCCCTCTAGTGTCCAAATAATCGTTCCACTCATATTTTCAGTCACTTGAATTGCTGTTTCAAAATTGTTAACTAACGTTTAATTTTAAATATTATTAACCTTACTGTACTAATTTTTTTTGCCCTAATAAATTTTGATTAACATTTCTTGAAAACAATGCCAAACTTGCATATTTTCATATCTATCTAGCCTTCTTAAAGTAATCAATATTTTTTCATCTGAATTTGGGATATGATCATCCAAAATGAACTGAGCTATGCTGAAAATATATATACTTGGTGTTGTTTTAAAAGATTAACTGGTTTTTCCCTGTACAGATATTTTTTGTGTTCTTCATGTTTTTTTTCACATTTTAAAAGATACAGTTTACCTTTATAATAACTCGAGTTTCCTAATAGGAAAATAGTCTTAGAAACCAATTCCATACATACTAGAATTGGGTAACAGGTTTTCTCCGATAGTACCCTCTCCTTATGTGATATGATATGGGGAAATTAAATTATATTTATCTAAAGAGAGCATGTATGATTTTGTGAGACTTGTACTGAATATAAACAAAGTGGTAATTAAAGATTTACACTGAGATACTTCTCACTTCCCAGAGGGCACAAATACATTATAAATATATCTTGAGAGTTTGAAATGGGAATAAAATGATTAAAGTAGTGTTGTTATCCATCCAAATTGTCCTCATTGCACACTGCATGATAGTCATTAGCCCACACATGATGTGAAATAGTAAGACTTAAAACTATTAAAGAGTTGTTGCCCTTGATATGCAAATTAATATATCACAGAGTAGAAGCTACTCCATTTCTTTGTCCAGTCAGTAAGTTTGTTTACTCTGCTCATAAACAACTTCAATTTTGAAAAGTAACCCTGTATCCATTTAAGCTATCCTGATGAAGATTGTTTAGCTGAAACACTGGAGATAATCTCTAGTCAATTGAAGTAATCTGTATTTATAGAATATGTTATATCTTTCAGAAAATGGAGTCATTAAAGGCGGATAATAATCGTTTGAAGGAAGAGAATGGTGCTCTTATTCGTGTTATTAGTAAACTGTCCAAATAGACATCAACCCTTCATCTATCAGCTCAAAATATACTGAAAATATACAACAAAAAAACGTGATAGACTTATAAATATAATGACGATATACTCGGAATAGAGAATTGGAATTTTATCATGGATATTCCTCGGACGATCAACTCGGAAACATTCTCCATTATTCCATATTATCATCTTCCATCATGGACTCACAGACATGCTGTCACCGACTTATTCACTCGTAAATTGTGTAAATCACAATAATATTATTATTATTATTATTATTTAAAACTAGGTCACATGGTTTCCCTAATTGGCCAATCACGACACAGATGTTTTCAAAATTTAAATTTGAATTTTGAAGACATTTTAGTAATGTGTCATTAGCTTAGAGTTTCTCCCCACCTTTCTGACCCTTTTTTATTTTGTGCCCCTCCCCCTTTCACTGATACTTGCCCCTTTTTGATCCAGATATGATTTCTTTCCTCATAAAATCTCTCACTATGCCTCAACAGGCCAATCCTTATGTAGATTTATGTATGGGCCCTTATTCTTAAAATCCACTCTGGTTATAGGGGTTGAAAGTCGAAATTCTCTTGCCTTGAGGAATATTTGAACTTGTAGCACCAAACTCCAGAGGATGAAGGTTTCAAGAATGAGGGCCCAGTCTTTCAACCAATGGTTTCTATACAAAAAATCTTGCACAAAATAGTGAAATATGCAGGGGGACTACTGAAATTTATGGTAAAAGCCTTAAATTTTGCATATTGCATATTTTCACTGTATTGTTTGTTTTTTCTTTAAGAAAAACATTTAACATGTATATCAATTTCATTTCACACAAGACGCGTATCAAAATCATGCTGGTATTTACAGAAATTTTCAAAATTCTCTTTATATTTACACGTTGAAGGTTGAAAACACTCTGTGAAGTATGAATGTTAATGGCTTTAAGAAACCAATTTGTGAGAAATTAGGAACTGATAAAATCCCTTGGTGAGGAGATTTTCCGTTTTTCTTTTTTACAAATGTCTCAACCAATCTTATGCTAATAAAGAATTAAGAACAATTTTGAAAATTTCTGTAAATCCACACCCCTTAAATATCATCTGAGTTGATTGGAGAAAAATGAATGTGAAAAATACATGAATCACAGGGATGATTAGATTTATATCAGAGCTGATCAAAAAAAAAAACAGCAGATTTCATACAATTTGGAGAAAATTTATTTTTCTCATAAAATCTTTCGTTTAATATTTTCGAATTTTTTTTCTGAAAAATTTGTAAATATTTTTATTTATGTCGTTCGTTTGTTTGGGTATAATTTTTTATTTCTAATTTTTGAAATATATATTTACATTGGATTTGCACTTTGAGAAAATAACCGTTTTTTTACCTCCTGTTTTTGCTACAGGGTAAACTTTTTTCAAAATTATTATTTTTTTTGTAAATAGTTTTAAATTCGCTTAAGTATTTTGCTTGATTCCCTTTTTGTATATTTTTCCATTTATTTGATTCCTATTATAAAGGTATATTTCATTTTTTGAAGACTTGCAACTTTTTTGCAAGAAATTATAAATTTGAAAATAAGCCTTCATTTTCATCTCAGTGAGTTTTTGGGTGAAATTTATAATTAGCATCAATCAACACCTTGCTGCAATGGAGCATAAAAGAAACATTGTACCATCATAATGATAATGTTGTGAAAATATCTGATTTTAAGAGATTTTTGGTTTTCAAATTTTCTAAATTATTTGAAAGATTTTGGTACTTTTTAAGACGAAATTTATTAAAATACAGAACAGAAATTGTTTTGAAATTTGAATTGTGGGATTGTTTGAGATACGTTGTGTACAGTTTGGTGTTGTAATGTGCGTTTGTGAAATGAAATTGTTAAATATCGTAAATGAATATCCACTATATTATTAATTCAAGATAAAAATATTTGATTGTGTTGCGACATTAATATATATCTAACTTCTAGATTAGAGTCTACTGTAATAATTAGGTCTTGACAAAAATTTTAAAAATGAAAAAAAAATTATAAAAGAGTGTCTATTTATTTCGTGTAATTTTTGTTTTTTGTATTTTTTTCTTGCTTTTCTTTTTATTGTACTTTGAACTTTGACCCTTCTATCCACTCTCCTTGCGATGGACGAATTAATTTCTAAATTGCAAGCGAGTATCTTTTGTTGTACATTAGTGGGGAGAAATTTTGAAAAATCAAGAACTGTAACTCTTGGCCTGATTGATCAAAGGGAGACTACTGTGTTGACCTAGATACTTCTGTTAATTTGAAGCAGAAGTATTAAGATGCAGGCGGAGGAAGCCAGCTGATTCAAAATGTTAATATTCATAGCATATTGTACTATATTATTCAAATAGTCAAACCTGAAATTAGCTTTGTTCTTTTAGGTGCTAAAGGCAGACATTTTACTGAAGACTCTGACATCCAGCCAGGGAGATTGTCTCCATTATCCAGGCACAAACAGCACAAAGAAAGAAATGTTGAAGAAGAACTGGTGCTAATAATCTAATTAGTGTAAATTAAGATTTAAATGGTTATAAGTAATTGTTTGAAGGGTTAAACTAAGCTTAATTCTATATTTTTACAGCTTGTGGGACTCTTTGTTAGCTTATATACTAAAATATATAATTTGAATTTAATTTTTGGCAAATAATGCTTGATTTTCAATCCAGATATGTGAACCAGAAATCATTTATTGATATTGGAAATGGTCCTGTCAATTTCATCTTTGAATGACATAGGAAAAAATGTTTTTCTTGAATTTTTAGAAACACTTGATTTTGATGAAATTTAGAAATCAGCAATCAAAGTCTTACTTGTTGAAAAATAACGAATTTGGCTTAATTTGTCCTTCATTAAAGGAGCTAATTGTCTTATTAGATGTGTATTTGGTGTTAGACCTTGTAATAGTCCATATTAATTGTGTTTATGTTGTCACTCACTGACAATTTTGTGAAAAATTTAGCGTTTTGTGAATTTAGGCAAGTTTTAGATGATTTATAGAAATTTAACACTTTTTGTGTTAAATGTGAACGCTTGTGTTAATTGAGAAGATTAGGGTGTTTCTGGATCTATTTTGTGTTATTGAGTGTTAGGATTTTTTGTGTTAATATTTTGAATTTAGGTTGTGTTAAGAATTAACACCTACGTGATTTTGATAATATTTCTTTCTTTTTTTCGTGTCTTAAGTGTTGTTTCTTTAATGATTTTTTCCCCTTTCTTCTCTCACTCTATGTTAGGGCCAGTCTTTTTTTTTGGATAAACATTTTTTTTATTTTGATGAGCGCAATTATTTTTTTTGTCTCTTGATCTAATGGTCAGTCTTTGAGAATTCTTGTATGTACTTCTTTATGATTTTGGCAAATAATTGTTCTGTTCATGATTTTTTTTTTTGATACTCTTCTCTCTCTGTAAGGCCAGTTTATTTTTAAGGAATCATTTCCTAAAAAGAAAACAGATCTGATGAATATTCCTTCCTAAAAGAGGACAAATTCAGTCCACCATTATAAAAATTTCAGGGCTATTAGATTCAAATTCAAATATATTTTTTTTTTTTAAGATATTAGGAATTTTCACGTAGATTTTTTGGAAACTTGGATTCTGGATATCAAACAGTAATGTTTATAACTGACTATCCTCAAACTTCATGAAAACTTCGTGTATGTGCCTTTTTTGCCTTTCAGTTCGATGCAACTATGTCCGTGCGTGAATCTGTGTGTGTGTGAAATTAAAGGAAAATGAGAGTTATCTACCCTTCTGAGATTATAATAGAAGCATGTTTGTTACTGTATATTAATATATAAATGATTATTTTTTCACAGAATCATTGCGATTGTAAATATGTAGATACACACCTTGTAAATAATGATGTACATTTCCTTATATGGTCATATTTATTAATCTCAAAAACCCCATGTACAAATAACGTTCGTGTTAGTCTTATCAAAGTTTGTGCTAGTGTTAATAGATTTGTGTTGGTGTTGTTGAAAGATTTGTGACAAATTTCGTGTTTAAGAGGGACAATTTTGTTTATTTTGTGATAAATTCTTTTGAGAGCCTTGACAATTTTAAATAAGTGACAGATTGCAAAAGTAAAATTTGAATGATTTTCTCGAAAACTTATCATGTCTATGGTAGTGTGGAAATGAAAATTATAAGAGATGGGCTTCCTGTTTCTTGTGAATCTGATAAGTTTTGTGGTGAGTGAGATATCTAATTGAGATATCAATTTAATGTTTTCAGAGAAACAGAGTTAAGCTAAGTATGTCAGAAATATCAGAATTTAATTTACATTTTGTCCTATTGATGTGCAATAAAAAGAAACATCCTTTGTGTGCTAATAATTTGTATTACTAAAGTTTTTTATTAGTTTTCCTTTTGTGTGCATTTATTGCGTGATTATTTTCCTGAATTAACCTTTAACATTACATTACACTCAAAGTTATTCTTAAAATGGATAAACTTTGGATTCTGTTTTATGGATGGATGCAGTGTTGTCAGTTATTAAACCCCTAAATCTTAATTGAACTCATCCACACATGCATATTTATTATATATTATGTATAGTTAGAAGAGTCTATTGCCAAATTGAAGGGTATATTAATAGCTTTTTACTCCACATCCATTCTTGAAAACATGAATAACCTAAACAATTTTGGATGTCAGTTTATATTAATATTGTTAGGTTTATCTTTCAACCTTAGACAAGCCTTAAAAACTGATTTTGAGACGAGTGGAAGATAATCTTGCATTGGCTCAAAATATTTCCAAAAAAAAGTTTTTATGTTGCAATAAGTTCATCTCAATACAAACTGGACAAATTTCAATTCTTTTTCTTTTGGCACAAAAATTGATAAAATAAAAAATGAAATGATATTCGATGCCAAAAACTTTTTTTTTGAATTTTGATTTGTTTGCGTCTGTTCCTAGTGAAGGCAGGCATCTCCAGACAGCTTTGAATTTAGAATTCTAAGAGTCTTGGATTGCCAGGAATTGATTTGTCATTGGCAAATAGATCAGAAGATGGCTCACGTTAGCGGCATTCTCTCTGACAAATGGGAACAGAAGCAGAAGATTAAAATTTAAGAAAATTGATTATTTTGGTGTCTCATTCACTGTTCTTTTTAAGGAGGCTGATTTGATGAACTATTCATAAGGGTAGAATTCAGCTATCTTATGAACAGTCAAGTAATTTTTAGCTTAAATTTGAAATTGATATCTACTCCCAAGATCAAAACAAGCTGATGACCTTCATTTGACCTTGTCAAAACTGTCAAGGTCATATGTCCGTCTGAAGGTTAATGACGCTTGTTTGAAATTTCTCGGAAATTTCCAGATCTCAAGATATCAATTTTGTCTCAAATGAGTATTTTCGGTATCCAATCAAATCAATGGTTACAAATCACCAACTAAGTAGCTTCAATTTGATGATTGGATGTTAAGGTTGTCAGATTTGAATTTTAAATTTTCTGCACTTGCCAATAATTGGCTAATTCAAGTGAACAGGTTATAAACATGAAATGTTGTTTGATTGGTGCTGACTGAGAGGAAAGTTTGCATCAGTTGCAATACTTAATGTCAAATAGAAATTATGGCCAAAACACATACTAACATCAATGTTAATTTTTTAAATGGTGCATTCCCTTATTTGGTCATGTTCCATGCTAAACTAATACTTAAATCCATTTTGCCAAAAATATGTTCTTCATTGAAGTGTTTTATATGTTGATGAATGATCTGTCAAAGATAATAATGTTCATGCAGAAAATACAAGTTTTGAGGGAAGTACAAGTGGAAACTTTCTAACCTTGCTATAGTGAGCACTATATTACAGCTATTTGTTTTACCTTTGATGATATAATGGACTGTTCTTATAAGAGTTCTGCATGTGCATAATTATCTTTGACCTACAACATTGTTGAATGTGCTGACCCTAATGAAAGTTGACGTTAGTTTGAGCCACCTTGGATGACATGTTGGATCCAAGGCTTGCATCCTTTTAACTTGGTCTTCTACCTTCCTGCACCATTGCTTGTTTATAACTGACATATTTTTTCAATTTTTGGCAGATTTGAGAAATGTTGGTCAATCTTTTCTGGGTGTTTGTAATGTCAGATGAGTTTTCGGAGTATCGATGTGAGATATTAGGAAGCTCATTGTTAATAAGAACGCAAATTTTTATCCAAATACAAAATCCATGAACTGACAAAATAACAGTATGGTTTCAACCTAGGGGTTATTTTCTTGAATTGATTCAGAAAATTTTGTCTTAAGGGCTGAAAAACGTATCTCAAATCTGTGAAATTTTGAAAATATCTGGAGGTTTACATTGTTGTCTTGACGCTGAATATCTGCTGCTGCAGTCAGTGTTCGTTCGGGTGACTTGGTGCTTCTGTGTACCAGCAATACCTTGTACCCTGCTTGACGCTGATTGACACGCCCCCTCTAGTGACATGTTGGATTAGAGGCTTATTGAACGTCGATTTTTAACGGATAAACTATGACCTTGAACTGAATTATAATGACCTTGAACTTTGAAGATTTGGAAGACAAACAGATATTTTGAAAATGATGTCATAACAGGGTGTTAAATTCTTCAAAAAATGTAAATTTTGTCAGTGTGAGATACTTTTGATGTGAATTGTGTTGAATTATAAGCAATATATTGTATACTAGTCATGTGAAGCATTTGACCAAAATATTCAAAAGATGCAATATCCTCATTAATGAAGATGCATTTTCTGGAAATATCCTGAAATGAATTTCTTAAGGCATTGTAGAGCAATAACTTACAAAACTAGGATATTTCTAAGATTTCCAAGGAAGGATAACTCCACATCTTCAAAGTTCAAGGTCATATTATTTTTTCTGTGTTTTATGTTAAATGTAAGGCTGAGCTGTCAAAAAACCAAGAACTTTAACTCTTGATGAGTTAAAAATGAAACCAATGTATGGATTATGATTTGGAAATCTATATTTGTAGTCTACTCTTGGCAGCTCAGTCAGTCTTGTCCTTCAGATAAAATCTTTATGTTATTTGCATAAGGGGTTTATTAGAAATACAACTTTCCCCATATGCAAATGTACATCCTGATTTATATCTGGGTTTCCACAAATTTAAGAGGAAACTTTGCATTATTTTAATGGACATAGCTTTCTTTCTGTCCACTTTGTCCTGTTTCAGCTAAGGACTAGCTCGTTAGAGATGACCATTTGTTATTGATCGTCCTTTTTTGAGACTTAAAAATCCTTAAGAGCGGTTCGAACCAAAGCAAAATTTTGTGGAAACCCAAATGTCTTAATGAAGCGGCTTTGAATATTGGTTATATAGCAATTCTTTGCTAATTTGAAATATTTAAAGATGTTTCATATATAAATCTTGTATTAAGTCTCTGTAAAGTAGATTCTGCCTTGTTGTGTCTTAATATGTTGCCCTGTCTTGCTTTATCAAGTTGGATTGACAAGAGTTACTTCCCTTGTAGGAAAGGGGGAGAACTCTAAGGGTAACTTGTCTTTTGTCTTTGTTAAACCTAGTTAATTGCCTAAAACTATATCTGTGATTACCATCACTTATATCCATTTAATCTAATTTACACTTTGTCTTGGTTGAAACAGTGGAGTAATCGCCCTTATTGAATAATTACCTCCCTTGTTGAGAATTCTTAAAAGGGAAATAACTGTGTAAGACTTTGTGGACTCCGATGATTTAACTTAATATTTTCAGTGGAGAGTTGATGTTGTTTTTGCAGCGTATTTGTGCTGTATTTTGTGCCTGGTTATCGAAGGAGACGGAATTGACCTGGTTGATATGTCAGAGACTCGGGAAATGGAACCTTGATTGCCGAAAAAATGAAAAGAACTAAACTTGATAGGATTGTACAACACAATTTACCCATGTAATTAAATATATTCTGTATCCCTAAACTCGTCTTGTTTTATTCTTGAAGGGTACGATGGCTCATCAATATCAATTCAATTATTCGAAAGTGTTCTCGTGAGAACCCTCAGAGACGCTCTATGTCAGGTTTGAGACTATGACACCTCCGCAGAGGATTGGCACTGTGAATTTAGTCTCGACAGTTGTCCCCCACCCCACCAATTAGCCCGTCTCCGGAGGCTGCCACTGGATATAGCCCGAATAATAAGGCTGGATTGGCGGGGCAATTCTGTTACCATTATATACTTTACTCCTCACCCAGTGATTGGTGGCGACGCCACTGAGGCTTGGCACAGTGAATTGAAAGCCTGATATCGTGAAAATAACTTAGACTGAAACAGGTGGTATATTGCTTGTCAATAACGACAGTGTAATATGCGAAGTTAGGTCTTCATTCAACTAAAGACGGATAGAAAGTCCTGTTACCAAGCTGAAAGGTGATACAGGTAGCCGATAATGAGATCTGTCAGGAGAATAATGAATTATATTTTATAGGCGAAGTCCTTTTATATTAGGGCAGGTGAATTTCAGGATTTCAAGATCCCAAAATCAGTGTAATTCAAACATTTTACATAAGACAATTTTTAAAAATAAATCCAAATGGTAGCCCAATCCGTCACGTGTCCAGATTCAACACTTACTTCGAAATCGCTTGCAGTATTTGATTTTCAAAAGGAGGTGAACACGTGGAGATAAAAAAAAACAACAATGACGTATTTTCTAACTAGCCTATGCACATTATTTTACTCGTGGATTAAAATTAGAAATTGAATAAGGGGGTGGGGGTGTACAACTCTTACCGAATTGACGCAAACTTAAAGTGATAATACGTCTTAGAATGAACATTAAATTGAAGTTCTCAAGAATGGTCAATATGAGTATATATTCATCAGTGAACTTACCTGGTGTCATAAAGTTACAACAGAATCCCTGTAAAATCTGGAAAATTGGAAAATTCATAAAACTAAGTAATTATTTAAAAACGCTTAATCTTGATAAGGGGAGGGGGGGGGGGAGTCAGAGGAGACAGCCTACTTTGGCTCCGCCACTGGATCTACATCAGCAAAGCCAATTTTCAAAAATGTTACAAATAAGTATTCGCAATTTATAATCTTTCCAAAGTCAAAATTTTAAACTTGGTCAAAGTGAGTCTTTGTTCATCAGTGGGCTTACCTGGTGTCATAACTATACAACAGGATCCTTTTATAATCCATTAAATACATAAAACTAAGTAACAATCCATCAAACCAAGTTTGAGACTTTAAATTGTATGTTCATTCTAAGAGGTAGTATTCCTTTAAAATATAGATTTTATTTTAATTTCTAACACGTGCTGGTTATTCATAGCATGTAATTAATAGTTATAATTGTTTAAAGATATGAAAACTTGCAGGATTAATGGACCGACTTGATGTGTTTGTGTTTTGAGGTTAAATAGCCTGTTTTAAGAAATATCTAAATAATAATCCATAATATGGAATACATATTATGAGGAAAACAACATCTTAATTTGGAAATTAAAAATTGCACAAATTAAAACTTATTAGCCTACGTGCACGTGATTTAGTGTATAATGCATAATCTTTATTTAGATTAGATCGATTTTTTTTAAATCCATAATATTTTTTTGTCCTAACCTACTTAAATAGGTCTAAAAGATATGAAGTAATTTTGGATAATGAAAATTTTTATTTCACAATTTACTCCTACTATTCTGTGCAACAATGTAACAATCTTTGTGCAATCATTTGCATCAGTGATGCAGGTAAGAGGGCCTGCCATGGAAAAAGCGTCTAGTCGTTCGGATGGGACAGTATAACTGTGTGCTACAGGCTGGGCAAGTTAAAGATCCCTCGACAGTTGGAAATCGAAAAAGAGCAGACTAATGCGTCTGTCCTGGCAAAATTTCCGTCATTGCACCCTGCATGGCGTTGCCCGTCTTCATTAGCTCACATGGTGCAGAAATGTAGGACTTAAAACTCCATTATTTCATTTTGCAATCATTTGCACATTCCTTTTTGCGATAATAGCCTTTGTCATTGTCTCCTGTAAAGTGGGCTTTCAACCCGAACTGAACTATATCATAACAAAGTACTATTCACACCTTCTTATAATAATGATTTGAATGTTCAAATTAAAATTCAACAATAAGCCTTATCAATACCCAATAAATCGCCTCATGTTAAAAAGTTGTAAATGTCACGTGCCAACATTTAAAAATTGACGTGTTTTTATCCTCGTGACCAGAAAATCATTATAATTTATTCTGAACAAGTGGCGCGGAATTTCACGAGACAGAGAAAAATCGTCTCCCCCGCCTCTGGTATTTCAAGTATTTCACAGTGCAAATTAAAACACGTGCGTTTACTTTTGGCTGTGAGATATACACGTCTTTATGACATTATAATACATTGTTAACAATACTCCTGGTCATACTGACAGCTTGACTTGATATTGCCCGGTTAGCGACTCATATTGCCCGTCAAGCTATTGATATTGCCCCGTATATTCACTGACTGGTCAGTAAATTATGTTAATATAGCGATTGATCTGGACGAATTATCGATGTGTTGGGCATTATATATTTTGTACTGTGGTATATTGGGTTGATAAAGACTGTTGTTACGTGTGTAACGGAGTGTAACGGTGGGATATGAGTAACGTGCCAGAAATCGTGACGTAATGTCATTTAAAAACAGGTAGTTGATACGTGAAAACGAGGCAAGGTAGAAATTCATTACCTTACTCACGGTTTTAAGTCTTATTTACCCAGTGTATGTCTATACTGTCATGTCGTGGAAGCCGTAATGTGTGATATACAAGGATTATGAGAGGTTTCTCCCGTTTATTCTGACTTTACGACATTATGTACTTGTGAATATTCCCACAGACAATTTCTACAAGTCACAACAAATTGGATTGTTTAGACTCAAACATGGCGTCGAGTTCAGTCAGTCAAGAGAGTTTGGATATGGAAGATTTCGAAAATCAAGCCAAACGAAATCGGATTCGAACCCATAGGGGTCGAGGTATGATACATAGATCTGCTGAGAGGGAGGGTAGCGATCAGTGTGAGAGGGAGGCGAGGGAACAGAATGGGGACCATGAGAAAGAAAATAATTGTGCCAGTTTGAGCCTGGTACAAACTGAACATGATTCCCCCACCCGTGGGGCAGCCAACAGGATGAAAGACAAAAGGACTCGCCCTAATCATCTGCATAAAGGGAAGCTACCCAAAGATAAAAGAAAATTGAGGGAGAAGAGAAGAAGTACTGGGGTGGTACATCTACCTTCCACAGAGGTGAGTATCGAAAAATGATAAATAAAAGTTTCTTTCGGAAACACTGTGGCATCAGCGTGGAGGATTTGAACCCATGGCACTCAGTCGTCTAGCAGCTAGGTGTAAAGGTGCGAAAGATGAAGTACAGTGCCTCTTCATGCTGGCATGTTATATCATGGAATGCATAATTGAACACAGTTTGATAGGCACACCACATGTTACGATACTGGTATCGAATTGCATGATCATTTATCAATACTTAACATAACAGTCATACTAGAAAAACATGTATACACACATAACTAAATGTCATTCAAATACATCAATTGTTCAAATCATGAACATAATGTATAATTTCATCTTTAGAAGTGCATGAAATATTCACTTTGTGAACATATCTATGAATCTTTTATCAACGTATTGACAATAAATTACCACTTTATTTTATTGCTATCTATATATACAGTAGAAAAAAATGATTGAAAGTTGAAAGATAGAGTGATCTATTAACCAATTAAGCGATGCACAGTGTAGTGTTAGCCTTATATCGAGATACATATTGTATTGTGACAGATTATGGTCACGGAAGAAATTCGCAGATGCCAGTCGTTTCTGCATCGCATTCGAACTCATTCATGTATTCTCTTCTGTATCAATATTTCACACACTGCACCAGACACTGTATCTTATCTTGTTGCACCTCGCTGTAAAGATTTCAATTTTTGAAGTATACTATCGTTGCTTGTAGGCATACACTTCATTGTTGCAATAAGTGTTTCGAATTTTTAATGCAGGAGAACTGGGGATGTTGACCAGTCCCGTAACTAGGGGAGGTTCAGGTGCCCCCCTAGAAATATATTCGAACAAATGCTCAATTCGAAGCTCAAATCAGTCTCTATCAGCTATTGCCCCTCATGCAAATGCAGCTGCCTCCCTTGGCACATTGGGCTGGTTACAGGTTAGTGCTTTTATGAGCCTAGTCTCATCATCATCTAACATACCATGTACCACTGAATTTCATTTGATTCTATCAATATCACTCAGATACTTTCACAAAATATTTTTAAAAATTTCCCTTTTGTAAATTTTATATGATGATTAATTGAAAAAAAATTCCACAAGTTAAATCCAAGTTAGTTGTAAAATAACAATGTCCTCATTTGACCCTGGATTTGTTGACAATGGATGCCCTTTCTTTTGTTTATTAACAGATAATGAGATAACCTATTATTATTTACCTGGCCAGATCTAAGGGTCACTGGGTACAGTTTTAGGGAGTTTGTGAAATTTAGGAGGTGTGGTGTCAAATGATTGATATACACCACACGTAAAAAGTTCATTAGCTGCTACCAATGTTTCGCCAATATATTTTTGGTGTTTCGGGTTTTGTTTTCCCATTAGGATTTTTAGTACTGGGTTTGTTTATTTATATAGTCATATTTTAAATGATTCTCATCTTTGAGATCACATTATATCAAATTAAATAAGTATGATAGAATTAACTAAGATTCATTATTAGTTATGTTAGCTTTTTGTCACATATTAACTCGGAAAATTGTAGAAAATTATGACCATGTTCATCTGTGAAATGATTAGTTGCCCAAAGGCAGAGTAGTTTGGACATAGAAAGATGGCTGGATTCAAAAGTAATAAAAAAAATTGATCACCTTGGGCAGATAGTACTTATTTTTTAAGTCAGGTCCTTTTTTATTGATGTTTTTTTCTGTTTATGATCCTACAAGTTACTAAAATGACTGTTTAGTATACAGTGAGCCATTTTGAGGCTTTTTCAGGCATTGGTGGCAAATTCATTCTGAATATTGTACTTTTGGCTTTAGATATATTCCATAAAAATATACAACAGAAGTGTCTGATATTATCATGGGGCTAATGACATACTTCGTTGTTACAAGAAGAGTCAAGGATTATCATACACATAATTACAATGTGACATTTTGTACCATTTTCAGACAGTTTTGGTTGATTATGAAAACTGTATTTTGGCCATCTTAGTGTTGACTATTGACAACATAGATATTATCTATTCTTGTATATATGAAGAGCCAGACATTGTCATATTGAGTGTGTTTTATAAATAGATATTATATTGACCAAGGACGGTGTATTTATTTTGCCCAGCTGCCCATCATCAGTGTCCCTAGTAATATGCTGAATTGTTTTTTTGGTATCTAGTTCAATTCTTAATTTTCAAAGAATTAATAATTTTCTTTGACTTTCTATTAAAAAATGAAATTTTCCTCGGAAGAAACCCTCTTTTTTAGAGGAATTCCTCTATTTTTCTTGCCAGTGGTATTTTTCTATTTTCAAATAAAACTTTTAAAAATTTGGTTTAACGGATAAAAAGATTTCTGTATGGGAAATGACTTCCAAAGAATCTTAAAATGGTTAGACCTAACCCTGTATCTCACATGGGAGCCTGTGATCCCCTTGACCCTCAACTGATATTTTCCATTTCCTCTATATTTTTTGCTCCTTCCTGGGATCCCGGTGATGTCTTGCTAATCGAGGGCAGAGCAGGCAAAATAAAGTCACCTGACGAAAGCAGTTGATACACTGAAATCATCTGTCTTGTCTCTCACCATCCCTGTTTCTTTCTTTACTTTAAATACCTCTAGATGACTAATCATTGTTTTCTATGGTTGAATGATAAAACAAGGTGTTACGGACAGCTGACTTCATTAGCTCACATTTTGGTTGAATTTTTAAATTCGTTCATTCATTCATTTGTTCATTTATTCATTCATTCATTCATATATTTGATCATTGATTAATTTGTTTATTTATTCATTTGTTCATTCTTTCATTTATGCTATTATCCATCTTTACATCATTAGCCCCTAATTAGTTAGTTGAAGACCAGTCATGCAGTGAAGTGTGCAATTAGGGCAATTTAGGCATTATCCTACTTGCAACATTGTTAGCAATCTAATTGACTGGGCAATTATTCATATATTCTTTGGGCCATTATATCAGATACTTAAATAACAGAATACATTTTTATAGTACTGAGTATCCTACTCCTGAGTTTTATAGTACACAATATTTCAAAACTTTACATTGTCAACATCAGTTTATATGGTACAGTACTTTTGAGTTTTATTATATACAACGTTTCAACAATTTACATTGTCATCATCAGGTGAAGTGATCTCTACCCTTTTAATATTGGCAAAAGATAACAAATATTTATTTTATAGTTTGTTTATTTTTAATTCATTCATTTATTCATCCTTTCACTGTCCAGATATTTGTTTACAAACAAAGCTAAGAGTTGGTCACTTAAGTTAGTTAATAAAATAAACCAACATTCAGTCATTGAGGTTTTCTTGTGGCCGCCATCTTGGGTTTGATTCAACATTTCCCAAATGTCTCAAATTCTTGTCTACACATTCAGTCTGTTTGGTTTAAATGTGGTTGGATAGATTTGCCAATATGGGTTGAAATGTAAAATTTCATTAATCTTGAAATTTGATGGGAATATGATGTCAAGATGGCCATAATGTTCAAATTCTTAGCCCTCTTTCTAAAAAACTCTTATTCTAAAAACTGACCCAAGTGTCAGATATAACACACTTTTGAGAAAAGATTTGTGAAACCGGTCCTTTGGGTCCTGTGATCCTTAAATGGATTAAGGAAGGGTTCACAGAATACGTCATCTTTTCTTGATATTCGAGATGACCCAGCTGTAAATAGATACGGATAATCCAGGAAAGATCAGTCGGTAGACAGGATCCTTATGAACCCAAGTTGTTATACTGGTAAAAAAAAATGGATGTTTCTGTTTTCTACTGTAGCGCGATCATTCCACAACGTACACTGCACCGCACACCTCGTCTATTCGCAGCTTAAGAGCAAAGAGGCAAATCTTGTACACCTTGTTATTGAATGTTATTTTTTCTCTGAAAACAAAATCTGGGAATTTTTCCTTTATGGCGGCATTTTTGTGAGATTGGCGGACTTAATTACTGATTAAATACTCTTTAAGTCTCCTTGAACAAACTCGTCGCATTTTTAACGTTTTGTTTTCATTTGGTCTGGACTGGTTGCCATTTTTTGGCTACGACAATGTTATAGATCTGGTTAGGAAATACAAAAACTTACTTAGCTAACAACGTCAATGATTTCGTTCTAAACACACAAAGTTAAAGTTTAGATGTAGACTTTTCGAGATCAAGTTGGTTTTTCAAGAATTCTAAATATTTGTGTCACATTTTTTTGGAATGAATCGGATATTTTGTGTGAGATTTGAGTAGTAGCTTTGAGAATTTCAAGTCTTGGTTAGAAAAATGAGTTTGGTAGAGTTGTATGTCCAGGTAAGTTAAGGATTTTTGGTTTTCTCTTGAAATAAGGGCATTTCTCAGGTAAATAATTCTAAGATTTCCTAACTTGCTTAAAAAGCGTCTGTATCATCATTCACTTGTAGGTTTTTACTAATCGGGTCTAGCTGCTGTTGAGTTGTGTGTCCTTGCCAAATGCTGAAGCGTTCTCAAAAATTCTCCACAAGATTGTTAAATCCACAGTCTGGGGTGGTCGTTTTGACTGTATTTGCCAGTCATGTTTGATTGGAACATTCCTGGATATCTTTTAATAAGAGTACATTGTTTGTTTTCTAAAGCATGTGACATTGGTGTTTTCAATTCGGGAACTCGACCTTTACTTTGATAATTTACATTCCCTTTAAAGAGTGGTTCAAGTGTCCTGAAGTGTGTATTATCAGTGATAATGCCCACTTATCTTCAAGTATATATAAGTGTTTATATATCATTTACCATATAGTCTATATGATAGACCAATTGATATAGACTTATACAGACACAAACAGTAAATAATAAATTAATAAAAAATAATCAACAACCATCAACACCTGTATTTTCTCAAATATCTTCTTTCTCATCCTGGTCTTATAGCTTGGTTAATCAAATTAAAGTTTTATATAAATTAGGTAGCAATTGTTCCAAGTGTAGAATCTAGATCGATCTACCAATGGCAGAAGTTCCTTGGCTTTTGATTTTGGCTAATCATGGGAAATATTGGATCACGAAGGAGGTTATTTTGACTCGTAAACTGTTAGGGCTGGGTATCGATTACCAAATTTCGATCAATAATCAATTTTTGTTGATAATAACCTAACAGAATTTGATAACACCCCCCCCCCCCCCCCCCTCTCCTCTCAAATACAAACTCTATCCTTCATATCATTGTGTGTAAAGTATAATAACAAACTAGACAAGAGTAGAGTATATATTGATTACATATATAACATACATATTATATTCCATACTGTTTGACTTTTTGTTGGTGATAACCTTGTACCAGGATGTGATTATACCCAGTCCCCCCTCCTCAAATTTACAGTATGCACTTTATATCATTGTCTACAGTACATCAATAGTAAGCTTGGCCACAGTAAAGTATAATGATTAAAGTTATATAACACCAATATGATTACTGTTTGACTTTTTGTTGGTAATAACATTATACCAGTATTTAAAAACAAACGCCTTCCCCCTCCCCTTCATCTTCTTTATATTTCATTGTCTAAAGTATAATAATAAGCTTGACTATATTTAAACAATACAATAAATTATTTTCACTGTTAAAATAGTGCTCAACACATCAATTGTAGATTAATATAGAAATACCACTGTTAAAATAGTGTCCAATACATCAATTGTAGAGTGATATAGAAATACCACTGTTAAAATAGTGTTCAATACATCAATTGTAGAGTGATATAGAAATACCACTGTTAAAATAGTGTTCAATACATCAATTATAGAGCAATATAGAAATACCACTGTTAAAATAGTGCTCAATACATCAATTGTAGAGCAATATAGAAATACCACTGTTAAAATAGTGTTAGATACATCAATTGTAGATTAATATAGAAATATCACTGTTAAGGTAATGTTCAATTCATCAATTGTAGAATGATATAGAAATATCACTGTTAAAATAGTGCTCAATACATCAATTGTAGATTAATATAGAAATATCACTGTTAAAATAGTGCTCAATACATCAATTGTAGAGTGATATAGAAATACCACTGTTAAAATAGTGCTCAATACATCAATTGTAGAGTGATATAGAAAATACCACTGCTAAAATAGTGTTCAATACATCAATTGTAGATTAATATAGAAATATCACTGTTAAAATAGTGCTCAATACATCAATTGTAGATTAATATAGAAATATCACTGTTAAAATAGTGCTCAATACATCAATTGTAGATTAATATAGAAATATCACTGTTAAAATAGTGCTCAATACATCAATTGTAGAGTGATATGGAAAATACCACTGCTAAAATAGTGTTCAATACATCAATTGTAGATTAATATAGAAATATCACTGTTAAAATAGTGTTCAATACATCAATTGTAGATTAATATAGAAATATCACTGTTAAAATAGTGTTCAATACACCAATTGTAGATTAATATAGAAATATCACTGTTAAAATAGTGTTCAATACACCAATTGTAGATTAATATAGAAATATCACTGTTAAAATAGTGTTCAATACATCAATTGTAGAGCAATATAGAAATACCACTGTTAAAATAGTGCTCAATACATCAATTGTAGAGAGATATAGAAATATCACTGTTAAAATAGTGCTCAATACATCAATTATAGAGTGATATAGAAATACCACTGTTAGAATAGTGCTCAATATATCAATTATAGAGTGATATAGAAATATCACTGTTAGAATAGTGCTCAATATATCAATTATAGAGTGATATAGAAATACCACTGTTAACATAGTGCTCAATACATCAATTGTAGAGCGATATAGAAATATCACTGTTAAAATAGTGCTCAATACATCAATTGTAGAGCGATATAGAAATACCACTGTTAAAATAGTGCTCAACACATCAATTGTAGAGCGATATAGAAATACCACTGTTATAATAGTTCTCAATACACCAATTGTAGAGCGATATAGAAATACCACTGTTAAAATAGTGCTCAATACATCAATTGTAGAGTGATATAGAAAAACCACTGTTAAAATAGTGTTCAATACATCAATTGTAGAGCAATATAGAAATATCACTGTTAAAATAGTGCTCAATACATCAATTGTAGAGCAATATAGAAATATCACTGTTAAAATAGTGCTCAGTACACCAATTGTAGAGCGATATAGAAATATCACTGTTAAAATAGTGCTCAATACATCAATTGTAGAGCGATATAGAAATACCACTGTTAAAATAGTGCTCAATATATCAATTGTAGAGTGATATAGAAAAACCACTGTTAAAATAGTGTTCAATACATCAATTGTAGAGCAATATAGAAATATCACTGTTAAAATAGTGCTCAATACATCAATTGTAGAGCGATATAGAAATACCACTGTTAGAATAGTGCTCAATATATCAATTATAGAGTGATATAGAAATATCACTGTTAGAATAGTGCTCAATATATCAATTATAGAGTGATATAGAAATACCACTGTTAACATAGTGCTCAATACATCAATTGTAGAGCGATATAGAAATATCACTGTTAAAAAAGTGCTCAATACATCAATTGTAGAGCGATATAGAAATACCACTGTTAAAATATTGATCAATACATCAATTATAGAGTGATATAGAAATACCACTGATAAAATAGTGCTCAACACATCAATTGTAGAGCGATATAGAAATACCACTGTTAAAATAGTGCTCAATACACCAATTGTAGAGCGATATAGAAATACCACTGTTAAAATAGTGCTCAATACATCAATTGTAGAGTGATATAGAAATACCACTGTTAAAATAGTGTTCAATACATCAATTGTAGAGCAATATAGAAATATCACTGTTAAAATAGTGCTCAATACATCAATTGTAGAGCAATATAGAAATATCACTGTTAAAATAGTGCTCAATACATCAATTGTAGAGCGATATAGAAATACCACTGTTAAAATAGTGCTCAATACATCAACTGTAATTCTCATTTCACCTTAACACTAATAAATAAACATTACTGTTTCAATTTTTGTTGGTTAAAACCAAACACCCCCTCCCCCCTGGAACCACCCTCAAATAAAAACTCTACCCTTATCATTGTCTTAAGTATAATAATAAGCTAGGCTATAATATATTGACTAAGTTATGTAATACCAATATCATATACAGTACTGTGTGAGGTTTTGTTGGTAATAACCTGTTACTGTGGTTGACATTGGGTTCACGACCTCTCTAGTTGTGTTGGTTTATATAAGCATTTTCCTCTACTATTTTGACTTTGAAATTCGGTTGTGTTGTGGTGTTGTTAGATCAAAACAAGGACTTTTAACAAAATTTGTTAATTTTCTAGGAAACATCATGTGAGGGGGCCACAGACCATTGTTTCACTATGTAAAATGACAATCCTTTTCATATTTATATGAATAAAATATTGTTTAAAAAAAAGAAAAAAAAAGTCTTCCCCCACATCATTACAGACCATTGGTCCAAAAATTTACGCCCCCTCATTCAGTTTTAGAATGAAAAGCTCCTTTCATTCATTCAGCTAATTATGCAATTATTTAGATGTTTATAAATTCAAAGCAAATTGATAGATTTCAAAAATGTCAGCTTCATATTTCAGGTCACTCAGTGTTTACACACTTGAAATTGTAGATCTTCAAAATAAGCAATAGTAATTTCATCTTTCTAACTTTCCTTATTGGGTTATGACTGATAATTACTATGTAAACAAAGTTTAAAATGAGTCACTGTAGTCAAATATATAATATATTTTGAGTGAAATATCCTATTCCTTTGTTGTGTGTTGTTTAAAAAGCGTCTAGTCGTTTTGATGGGACAATAAACCGAGGCCCTGTGTGCTACAGGCTGTGCACGTTAAAGATCCCTCGACAGTTGGAAATCGAAAAAGAGCAGGCTAATGCGGCTGTCCTGGCAAAATTTCCCTCATGACACCCTGCATGGCGTTGCCTGTCTTCATTAGCCCACATGGTGCAGAAAAGTAGGACGTAGAACTCCATTCATTTCATTTCATTTGTTATATGTTGTCGTTTAAGCTTATCTTTTTTATTCCTTAGTCCTAAAGGGCACTTCAAAGCCTATTTTGAATTTTTAATGTCAAAAAAGAAAGAAATCCAGATTTTCGGAAATGCAGTAATCTGATTGGATAATGAAGTAAGCTGTTTCATCGATTGACCAATCAGATAGAGAAAATACTAAAATCATTTAAAGTTTCAAGTTAAGGGATTTTTTCAAAACTTTTTTTTTGCATCTGGACCATTTATGGCTTCCTGTTTTTTTTTTGCATCATTCCAATTTTCCATCAAATAAGCGGCTCTGTGATTAATAGAAATGTTGTCACTTTTGCAAAAGCTTCTTAGTAACATCATAAAACGCTTAGACATCTCTCAGAATATTGGAATGGTGAAAATCAATACACACAGTGTCCTCAATGTACTTAAAAAAATTATAAAACCCTTTTACCAGCCCTTTTAGTTTGAGGGACGAGAACTCTGTTTCTAAAATAAAATCTTACAATCAATTTTCTCGCAAGTATGTTACTTATCAGTGTAAATTTCCACACATACGACAAATTTTTTTAAACTGGGAAGAGATCTATAATCTATATAACTGTACTAATCTCTACAGTGTACTGTAACAGTTTGTTATATGTCAATATACAGGCTTTGTATTATTTATCAACTGCATACAACATGTATGACATTTATCTTAACCTCGCTTTTTATACATTGATCTACAAATGTCATACTTTTATAATAACAACAGAAAACCAATTTATATATTTATTTATACAAACCATTATCTACAGGCTTAAATCTAAGAGTCAAGTACGAAAGGAATCAATATGATATAGACCAAAAGTGGAGGAGGGAGGGAGGGAAGGGGATACGTAGCCAGGGATCTAGATATAAGATTGAACCAACATTTCTATATTCCACATGTCATTCTGTTGCTGTTTAGGACAAAGGAGTTAAATAATGGTGACCACATTCATTTATTGAAAAAAGAATTTTAAACCAATTAACAATTCAATTAGAACTTGAAATATTTGCCTAGGGGCTAAAATTACTTAAGTTTTGTTGAAAAATTTGAAATTATTTCAGAGAAATGTTAGCTATGTGTTGATAAAAGAGTTGCATTGTCCTGTTGTATTTGTGGATACCTTACTTTGTCCCTATACCACCTGTCAGAGACCATATGGTTTCTTTGTTTATTTAAATTTACCATTGAAAAATGCCTTCTTATTTTGATCATTTGTTTTTAGGAATTTTATCTTAAAGGGACAGTTGTGCCATTTTAGAGGGTTGATTTGAATGTTGAATATATGTAAATAGTCTTCAGAAGTACTAGAAATGTAAGAGAATCCCATAATTCCTTTAAAAATATTGACGAGTTGTCATTTTAACATTCAAACGCGGATAATTCTTGGCACACATTCGGCTCCCCTTTTCTGATTTTACTAGTCATAATGGGGTACATTAAAAATTTTTCTAATCTAGGAAGGTGGAGAATACATCTAATAGGATTTTGACAACGAAAGTAGAATGAATTTTCATGTTTTGATGAGGATATCTTAAATTTAAGGTTTACTCAAACTTCTAGTCGTTTGGATGGGGCAATAATCTGAAGCCCTGTGTGCTACAGGCTGTGCATGTTAAAGATCCCTCGACAGTTGGAAATAAAAAAAGAACAGGCTAATGCCACTGTCCTGGCAAAATTTTCCTCATTGCACCCTTCATTGTGTTGTTCGTCTTCAATAGCCCACATGGTGCAGAAAAGTAGGATGTAAAACTCCATTCATTTCATTTCAAATTACTTGAATTATCATGTCAATTGGTGAATATTTTAACAATTTTTAAGTCAATGAAATTTGAAGTGATTGATATACTGAAGATATTTTTATAGATTTAAATTTTATTATGTACCTATACTTCATATCTGTTAATTGAGATAAATGTATTAATTTTCTTTAAATTTTTTTTTTTTTTTTAATGTTTTAAAATAAACTCAAATTTTTTGTCCGCAATTAATATATCCTTTTACTTATGCTTGATGTAAGTCATTTGAGCTGCCTGTCCGACATCCTACAAAGGTTGATTAATATTCTTTAAGATATAAATTCAAATTTTCTGTCTCCATTTAAATATCCTTCTTCCTCATATCTTGTTGCCCGTCTTCATTAGCCCAGTAGGTGCAGAAGAGTAGGACATAAAACTCCATTTATCTCAGTTTGAATTATTATGTCAACTAGGGCTACAATGATTTTTGAAATTGCGATTTGACACACTATACGAGAAGGAAAGAAACAAAATAGTAAAAGAATTTAAAATTATAACAATTTGTCACTATTTAATACATGAGATCATTTAGAAGAAGAGAATTCTAAAGACAATTCTTCATTTTTGAAGTCAGAAATGAATTTTTATGTGAAAATTATACTTAAATAATCAAATCATGACACAATTTCTTATACACACACGAGGATTCTGTGACATATTCTCTGAAAGGGTGTTAATAAATAATCGTGCCGATACATCACAATAATTTTTATCTAACGCAATGCATAGATGAGAGGGAAAGAATCACAGTTCATCGATTCATAGGTGAATCTTTGCAGTCCTATTGTCAGTAGGTAAAAAAGTTTTTTAAGACGATCTTTATTGATTGATCTTCTTTAAATTTCTTTATTTTAAGTTAACAAAATTGATGTCTATTATCAAAATATCCTTATACACTTGATATCTAGTTTGTAGATTGAGATGAGGACTTAAGGAATGTGATATTCAGTCAAGCGTAGATTTTAAATAAGCTATAATTTTAAATACTTCAGTTCTAACTCAATAGGTTCATTCAAATTGACGTGTATTTTTTGCAATTTTTGAAACTTGAGAAACAATTAAGTTTATTTCGCACCCCTTAGGCTGAATATTGACATTAAAATTTAGAGATGTAGTGGGAAATAAACTAAAAATAAACTAAAAAATATAATTACATAAATCATAGTGAACAAAGAAATACATATAGTGTAGTGAATATGTTTCGGGCATAAATTTTCAACCACAGGAACATTTGTGCTTGTATTTACACTTGTATTTGCATTTGCACTTGTATTTGCACTTGTATTTACACCTGTATTTACACTTGTATTTGCACCTGTATTTACACTTGTATTTGCACCTGTATTTGCTCTTGTATTTGCACCTGTATTTGCTCTTGTATTCACACTTGTATTCGCACTTGTATTTACACTTGTATTCGTATTGTTTTTATGAGGAGTTCTGTAGATCAGTTAGTTAAGAGTAATGAGAATTTTGTGATATCATAAACTTGAAGATGGCAGTTTGTATAATACCAACATAAATAAAGTATAGAAAGGAACATGTAATTGCTTCTATGCATTGCTTGGTTTCTATTACTATTATCAGTACATCTACTATAACTTATTATTTTATGTTAAGTAGAATATCAATTCACTGATTGTTGATAGATTAAAATTTCAACGTAGACAGGCACATGCTCATTATCAGTCAAAATACAAGACATTTTCAGTTGAAACTTTTTTGATTTTGTTACATCAGACATAATATTTTTATTCACCATAATTATGATATTTCCAGAATACTGGGGTTCAGGTACAACTCTATGCAATGCCTTAAAAAATCCCTCCCATCCCATCCCATTCCTTTATTAATACCCTTTATTTCTTGTGTATTTCAGAGTACTGGAGATTCACTAGATGATGATGATGATACTGATAATAAAGCTACGTTAGAAACTAAGAAAAATACCACGTTTAATGAAGCCACAACAGTAGAAGGTGGACTGAGACATCATAGTGAGCCACATAAACATGTAAGTAGATGAAATTCACATATTGAGGAGCGACTGTTGCCCAGTTTGTTAGAGTGTTGAAACCTTGACATCATTGATTTATATAATAATAACAATAAACTCTTCGTTTTACATATGTCAGAATTAGGTCCAAAACACTGAGGTGACATGATCCTGTCTAACATTCAGCTCATGGGGACAAAACACTGAGGTGACATGATCCTGTCTAACATTCAGCTCATGGGGACAAAACACTGAGGTGACATGATCCTGTCTAACATTCAGCTCATGGGGACAAAACACTGAGGTGACATGATCCTGTCTAACATTCAGCTCATGGGGACAAAACACTGAGGTGACATGATCCTGTCTAACATTCAGCTCATGGGGACAAAACACTGAGGTGACATGATCCTGTCTAACATTCAGCTCATGGGGACAAAACACTGAGGTGACATGATCCTGTCTAACATTCAGCTCATGGGGACAAAACAATGAGTGATGTGAAAAAAGGATGGTAGTATTTTCTCAAATGGTGGTTGTAGGTTCCATTCTTGGTCTTCCATTGTTAAACTCAGCTTTGTAGTTTGAAACAGCTGATTGACTCACATTTCGCGAATTGTTGTTGCTGAACTTTCGCCATAGAAATACTGAAAGTCAATCGCTGAATTAATTCCTTTGATATTACTTAAGTTAGCTTGCGACTGCCTTATGTCCTCAAAGAATCACTAATATTCAAGGCTAAATACGTCAAGACAGGTTTGAAGTGACAAAATATTTCTAAGAATAGCGAGTGTAGTGACTGCAGAATAAAATAATCTTAAACAAGTCCTCAAAACTTTATCACAACTGGTTTTAGCTGATGATTTAGTCGGAATGTTGAAGTGATTTTCTTCCAAAAAAGGCATGTTCTCAATTTCACAGGCTAATTACAACAAATAACAGATTTAAAAACACAATAGAATGTTTGTATCCTAATACAAATCTGTGAAAACAGGCCATACTTGTTTAGGACGAGTTGCAAAGGGACATAACTCATTATTTTGAGTAGTATAATGAATATACTCTGTCAGATTGAATTAGGAAGCGGGGAGTAAAATTTAAAAATTGTGGGAGGAAGAATTGACAATGTCATGATTGTTTACACGATTAACAAATTAGTTGGTGGAAAAATAACAAACCAGTAGAGGCTATATCAAACTTATTATTAAGTTGGCCCGGTTTTGTTTGTGAAATTCAAAACTAAACATAAGACTTGTACTAGAAACAGGCTATTTAAGGCTGTATTTTTATAATTGGTCTAGTTTTACTGAATTGCACAATTCACCTTGTTGCTAAGCAGTCAACAATTTAACTTGCTATGTACAATCAGGGTTGTAGCTACAGGAGGGAAGGGGACCAATTCCATTACTGCAACTAAACATCATAAACCATTGCCCGTCTGGATATATTACTTGCCCCTCAGAAGAATCAAGTCTGGCTATGGACCTTTTCATAATGTTAAGCTTGGGAAAAATTTGCAGTCTTTATGGGTTCTGTATTTGCTAGAATACAATCCAATCAAATTGCTGCTTTATGTGATACAAGAAAATTAAATGATGTCGAGGTATTAGATGCTTAACATTGTAAAGATGATTAAAACAGACCCTGAAACATGTTGTTACTCAGAGTTTCATGCTGTGTCGCTGTATGATTTAAAGACAACTGATCTAATTCAGTCTGTGTCTCTACTGAAGTTTAACAAGTAGAGTACTTCAGACAACTGATCTAATTCAGTCTATGTGTTTGTATCTATGTTATTTACCTTCTAATGTAGAGTGTTCACACCTAGGTATTGTTTAAATAACAACATTGGTTTTACTTGTCATCTCCATTCTTCATTCACTGTTAAATACTACATCAGTATTGTCAACTAGTTCAACAAAGATAATTGTGCATGTGCATACCCAGTTATACCCCTTGTCAGAGATACAGGTCACATGGGCTGATATTGAAAAATGTCTAGTCATTGTTGTTGGAACTAAACCCAGGCCCTGTGTGCCAAAGGCTGTGCACTTTAAAGATCCTTCGATAGTTTGAAATTACTGAAGAGTCAGCTGTTCTTAGAAAATTTCTCCTAATGCACACTGCATGGCGTTGGCAATACTCATTAGCTTAAAAAGTTTCAGAAAAGAAGCTGAAATAAAAAAGGTTTTGCTTATGTTGTTGATACTGTTTGCTCACTGCTTGGCAAACTCAGTCTTAATTAGCCTAATAATTAGTCTAATAAGTTGAAAAGTAGGACGTGAAAATCATTTCATATCATTTCATGTCTGAACCTAGGAGAGAAATATTTTCCTTCAGAAAAATTTATCAAAAACATTTTTTATATTTTCAGTCCCATCATCATACAAGTCATGTACATTCTAGTTTTACTACACGTAGAAATAAAAGGTAAGTTCTCCAGGCTGATATTTTCTTAATTTTGAGTAGTTTTGAAGTTTATGTCAACTGTTAGGTTGTATTAGAAAGTGCTAGGGTTACGGAGTAAAGGTTGTTACCTATTAATTACCATATTACACCACGCCCCTTTATAAATATATCTGAAAAAGTTACGAAAGCACAGACACAGGACTTACAAGTTTAAAGTTCTTAAATTTGAATAAACAAAATGTGTGTTAAAAATCATATGTTCGTAATTCCGGATTCTGTACACTTTTAACTGTAGTTAATCTGAAATTAGCAGAAGAGAAAATCCCCTTGGGATCTTTGGATTAAAATCTTTCCCATTTTCCCATTTTGATTAGAAATCAGTTTTCTTGGAATATTAATCAACAATATACAGTGAGAATTCAAAAAGTCAATAACAGTTAAAGACGAATTTATTCATGACACAAAATCCAAGATTGGTCCCCGCCATATCCTCCTTTAAAAATGGATGTTGAACTTGAAATCAGATACGCTGAATAACTTGCTGAGAAACTATTTTAGAAAGCACCCCACACATATACACACTCTTTCTCTTTTCAGCCCGTCTGACCTGGAAGCAGATTTAGAAGATAATCAGGATTATGATAGCACAGTTAGTCAATCAGAGACAAACTTAACATTGATTGGACAATCTGAGTCATGTGACATTCCTGTATCTCAATCGGTTGTTAATAGCAACACATCAGGTGTTCTCAAATATACTAGTAAATACTCAGAATCGCGAACATCTGCCACAGTGACACCCTCTTCAAATGTTGTTGACCCGGAAACCAAGACGACGTCTTCCAACAGTACAACGGCAGAAATTCTCTCAAGATATCGTGACACTGATCTTCAAAACCAAAAAGAGGCTGAATCTCAACAAAAGAAAGAAATTGACGGACCCAGAACATATTCAACTTATTCTCAACTCCGGGAAAATCGAGGAGATTCCCCGTACGGGAGTTATCTTTCCCGCTTACGGGACCGTGATTCAACCTCACCTGTCCATCAACGTATTAATTACCATATTACACCACGCCCCTTTATAAATAAATCCCAGGATACAGCTAATTTAGAAAAGGTAGGAATGGCATCAAATCACATTTTTCTAGCAATTAAATTGTAATTTTTTTTTTATTTAGAAGAATAAAAATATAAAAATTGTAAATAATACAGAGGTTTTCTGGTCTATCAGTGTGACTTGGTGACACATTAGCAGTCATTTGTAAACACTCTTTAAATGGCATTTAGTAATTGAGGTATGAATATATGGATAACAATTACTTTAATAAATAACTTACGACCTTTCACTGATGATACTTTCTATCATTGCTTGATAAAGACGAAAGTATCATCGTCAAAACCTCGCATGTATATATATTTGTAAACTCTGTTCCATCTTATGACTTCTTAAGTTTTTATCATTCCTAAAATTGTGAAATAAAATGAGTTTAGTGCCAGTTTTGTTCAATTGGAGATCCAAAGCGCAATCTTACTCTTTAGTGTTTCGTTGCATAGACAAAATCTTTCAGATGAAGCAAATGTTCAAATCCCCATTGATTCAGGTTGTGCATGTTTAGAATTCATGGACTTTTGAAAATCAAAAATTAAAGATAATTTGGTACCATTACTCTTGAAAATCTATGTGTTTGGTATTTATGTATATAAGGTACAGAATAGGATATAAAACTATTAGTCCAATAAGCAGACTAAGGTTTAAAACTGTATTTCATTGATGAAATACACAAAGATATAATACTCCATTAAGTCTCATAAACCCAATAAGCGAAAGAACTTTAGGGTATAAAACTCATTTCATTTTTCCAACAATTTTTGTTTGTTCTAGTTACTGGACAAAGAGAAGGAAGAAAATAAGAAATTAAAAGAATTATTGAGTGATAAAGACAAGAGAATAGCTGAGTTAGAAAAAGAAGTCTCCTTATTAAATAGGGTAAGAATACACCAATTATTTTTTTGGGGTGAGGGGTTGCACTTTTGAAAAAAGGGTTACACTTTTTCATAATCTCCATGAAATGAAGTAAAAGGTATTAAAACCATTTTTTGGGAGTCATTTGTTATAAATTTCGACGATTTCTCTTCTGGCTGACCTGAATGATCCCCTTTCTAGCTACTGCAGCTGTCTTGTCAAAATTTTCCTCATTAAACACTTAATGGTGTTGCCCATCTTTCATGTCCAATTTCTATATTTGATTTTTCGAATTTTTAGCATCGTTAGGAGGCAGGTGAGAATCTGTTGTCATGGAAACATTATTTTGATGTTCTAGTGATATATAATATATATTTAGTTTAAGTTTTTGAATTGTGTATCTTCCCCAATTCTTTCTCAAACCAATGCATGGTTGGAATGTTGATAATTTGAGTTTTCTTTTCTCCTGGTATAGTAGATATGTGTTTGTGCTGCATATTTCCTTCTGATATTATATATTGTATGATTACCTTCTGATTTGTTACCCAACCCCCATCTACTCTCAGTTTGTCATGGCATAAATATCTATTCCACTCTTGGCAGCAATTTTCGTGACCAGATACTGTTCTTGTTGTGCATGTTGCCCAATTTTGCTCCTTTCGGCCCCGATTTTCCAATGAGAACAAGAATCCTATCCTAATAAGTGTTATATGTTCCCAAAAAATGCATCATATAATAAAAAGACCAAAGGATGTATTCACAAATTTCACTTACTTATTGGTTCCTGGCATGATAAGCTCTAACTGCAGCTGAAAATTAGGATGCAAGCTCTATTATTTTCATTTTTAAGTGGCACAATTTCCAAGCATTTTGATGTTGTCTTCTTAAACAGATTTACCTCCCTTTGAAGCTAGATTGCATGGAGAACACAATGTAGTAAAAAAAAAACAGAACATAACCCATTTGAACCTCATCCAGTCGACCAAGCTGTAAATGGATTCTCATGATTATGAAAGATCAATCCAGGAAAGTATACCCAAGAGGTTTAGCAATAGACAAGTTATTTCGAGAACCTACTTTTCTTTCCTTGTTCCATGGATCTTCTGTCTCTCTGTTTGTGTCCTCCATTTTGAAAATTTATTCTCTTGTATCTTTCAGGAACTTGACGAGCTAGATGATGAAAATATTAAACTTCAAGAACAAAACAGTGCTCTTATTAAAGCTATGTCTACACTATCAACAGCAGTTTAAAGATAGGGTTACACTATCAACAGCAGTCTAAAGATAGGGTTACACTATCAACAGCAGTCTAAAGATAGGGTTACACTTTCAACAGCAGTTTAAAGATAGGATTACACTATCAACAGCAGTTTAAAGATAGGATTACACTATCAACAGCAGTTTAAAGATATGGTTACACTATCAACAGCAGTTTAATGATAGGGTTACACTATCAACAGCAGTTTAAAGATAGGGTTACACTATCAACAGCAGTTTAAAGATAGGGTTACACTATCAACAGCAGTTTAAAGATAGGGCTACACTATCAACAGCAGTTTAAAGATAGGATTACACTATCAACAGCAGTTTAAAGATAGGTCTACACTATCAACAGCAGTTTAAAGATAGGATTACACTATCAACAGCAGTTTAAAGCTATGTCTACACTATCAACAGCAGTTTAAAGATAGGATTACACTATCAACAGCAGTTTAAAGCTATGTCTACACTATCAACAGCAGTTTAACGATAGGATTACACTATCAACAGCAGTTTAAAGATAGTGCTACACCATCAACAGCAGTTTAAAGATAGGATTACACTATCAACAGCAGTTTAAAGCTATGTCTACACTATCAACAGCAGTTTAAAGATAGGATTACACTATCAACAGCAGTTTAAAGCTATGTCTACACTATCAACAGCAGTTTAAAGATAGGATTACACTATCAACAGCAGTTTAAGATACGGTTACACTATCAACAGCAGTTTAAGATACGGTTACACTATCAAAAGCAGTTTAAAGATACGGTTACACTATCAACAGCAGTTTAAAGATACGGTTACACTATCAACAGCAGTTTAAAGATAGGGTTACACTATTAACAGCAGTTTAAGATACGGTTACACTATCAACAGCAGTTTAAAGATACGGTTACACTATCAACAGCAGTTTAAGATACGGTTACACTATCAACAGCAGTTTAAAGATAGGGTTACACTATCAACAGAAGTTTAAAGATAGGGTTACACTATTAACAGCAGTTTAAGATACGGTTACACTATCAACAGCAGTTTAAAGATACGGTTACACTATCAACAGCAGTTTAAAGATAGGGTTACACTATCAACAGCAGTTTAAAGATAGGATTACACTATCAACAGCTGTTTAAAGATAGGATTACACTATCAACAGCTGTTTAAAGATAGGGTTACACCATCAACAGCAGTTTAAAGATGGGGTATGATGATGTTAAAAATGATATGTACATCATATTTTTTAAGTACTAAATACATAAAACTTACAAGTGGTAAAAGCTCTTTAAGGGCTGCTCACAAATTTCCTTATGGGTATATACCGGCGCCTTTCACTGAATATTAAATTTCACAAAACCAAACCTGACCTTTAATAAACTAAGGTTGTGCTAAAATTATTATTGTAGGCATTTATGTGTAAATAATGTGAAGCAAATATGTAAATTTTGCACAGTCAGTAGGTAATGGGCTTATTAAAGGTATAGTCAGATCTCACTAAATATTTTTATAAAGTTGGGTTTTTTTTTATTTCTGTAGGAAAGACAAGAACCTACTATTTTATATAGATATGAAATATTATTGAGAATTTACAGAAATCAGCCGTGAGAATTATGAGAAGTGGTATCTTGAGCAACTATAAAATTATATTGGGCTGACATTACCTTTATTATAGATCCATTACCTAGTATTTTAAGATGGAAATGTATGATAGTGTTGTAAATATGAATTTAATAGATGTAAATATGTGATGTCAAAACTAGAATTTCCAACTGATGATTTCATTGGATAACTGAAATTTAGAAGCCAATGAAAATACAGGAGACTTTAACTGTTTATAAGAATAGAATTTTTCACAGAATTGTCAACTGATATTTTCATTGGTTAAAATGAAATAATGCCCAAATTGTGAACAGACGTTTTCATTGGGTTAGAGAATTTAGGCAACTAATGAAGTAATACAAACTGGGTTTCAGTTGGTAACCAATGAAAATTCAGTTGGAATGTTCTAAGAATTACCAACTGTGAATTTCATTGGATAACTAGAATTAATGAACCAATGAAAACACACCTGACATAAACTGTCCAATATTGTTATATAATGTGTTCACATTGTCAATGTAGTTGTGATTTTTAATTTTTGTAATTTTCTCACTGTTGCTATCTTAGTGCAATGAATTGATGGGAAATGGAAGGTTTTTTTTTTAGCCTTTTTTGGGTCAGTATGTTTTGACAACAGTCACCGGGCATTTCTGGGGGCATTTGAGGCTTACGACAGTCACAGTTTATATTTGCATCATTCTGGAAATATTTAGGGGGTTCCTGTAATTCAGAAACAACTTGATAGACTTTGGTTTTGGAATATTTGCGTCTCTATGAATCCTTGTGGAGGCCACATAATTGTCAAAGAAGGCTCACAGCACTAGCTGATTCAGAATTTGGCTGCATGTCTGTTTGGATATCAGAATGATGCAAGTAGAAACTGTAAGTAGACCAGGGAACCTCTTTACAAGCCCTTAAAGATGGGTATAAACACACACACCATATTAAAATGAGTCATAGGCCCTTTTCATTCCTTCAAAAATCCACAAGTCACAATATAAAGCCAATCAAATCGTATTTAATATTATAATTTATGTAAATATATTTTTAAAACTTATTGAGGGTGATATATAGGCCTATATATATATTTTAGTACCAGAGTTGTCTGGATAATCAAAATTGCTTCTAGTCTTGAATGTCCAGTCTGTAAATGTGTTGGTTTTGGATATTCTTCAGATTAATCAATTAAAAATTTCTCCTTGCTACACTACACATTATGATTTTGAAATGTATTCCGGGCATCCGTAAATATATTTTAAAGGAACATGTGCGCCATTTTGAGTTTTTGAGGGTTAGATTTGAGTCTGGAATATTATGTAAATAGTCTGCAGCTGTACTTTCAAACGCAGATAATTCTAGACACACATGGATATAAACGCCCAAATTTCAATTTTGAACTGTGAACATTATAACCGCTTGGTATAGCTAAAAAAAATTCCTGTTTCTGACACTAAGGTACGATTTGTAAAAAAATGGCGCATCTGTCCCTTTAAAATTGAAATTACAGTATATCAGCTGGTAGAGTAAAAAGTTATTTGACTATTTCCCTCTATGAAGGTCAATACATCTTATTTTTAGTTGCATAATATTTTCACTTGCTTGCCGTTATTTATTCGTATAGTTCTGCAGAGATTATAATGCACATCCGAGTAGAACTCATAACAATGTTAGTAGTTCACTTCTGTAGGGGATAATTTAAGTAGTACAAGTAGTGTTTGTGACCTCGGCCAGTGCTTTTTGAGGAGTTTCTTTGAACTTCCTCACTCTTAATATTATATAAACATGTCTTTTATACTACAACATACTACGTTTCAGTAAATATACATTCAACCTGAAACTAAAGTGATAAACCGAGGCCCTGTGTGCTACAGGCTGTGCATGCCTTGAAAGTTGGAAATCGTAAAAGAGTAGGCTAATGTCACTGTCCGTGGATGATTTCCCTCATGGCACACTGCATGGCATTGCCTGTCTTCATTAGCCTAATTACATGCAGAAGAGTAGGATGAAAACTCCATTCATTTCATTTCATTTAAACTAAAGTGGATTTCTCAATGTTTTGAAACAATAAAAATCTTTACTGGATCATGCTTAGTTCTTAGTTCATAGTTATTTGACTTATTTCATTTATTACCTTGGAGCTCAATACATATATCTTTTGTTTTCATAAAAAATTTAATAAGTTCTTGTCAAGTCTCAGTGGATCCATCACATTCAATTCAATACCGTTTCATGTTAAAAAGTTTGAAAATTTTTGTTATGAAATTAAATTCCATTTAAGTAATTGCTCTTTATAAATAGATGCTCATATTTTGTTTATGTTCGATTTGAAACCATTTTCATTATTAACTAATTTTTAAAATGGGGTGAATCTCTTTGAACAATTTGTTTTTACAAAGAATATCTATCAGTATACTGGATGCTACTGAACCGACTCTCTCAACCACAGGCCATGGAATCAAAATAATTTTAGGCCCAGAATTTTATTATTGTGATGATGTGATAAAAGAAATGATACAGCTGTAATTTTTACTTTTTCTGCTTTTTAGAAAGAAATATATTATAATATTGTTTCACAGTTTCAAATTGTTATAATAAAATGTTATAAAAACAGACTGTGTTAGACCAGTTTTAATCTTGGTTTGGGGTCAGTGGCAGACTAGTTTTAATCTTGGTTTGGGGTCAGTGGCAGAGCCAAAAGGGGGAGAGTTTTAATCTTGGGTTGGGATGTTTGTGAGACTTCTTTTAATCTAGAGTTGGTGTGTGTGTATGAGACTTGTTTGATGTGTGTCTTAGTTTGGGGTGTGTGAGACTAGTTTTAATCTTGGGTTGGGGTGTGTGTCAGATTAGCTCTAATCTTGGGTTGGGGTGTGTGAGACTAGTTTTAATCTTAGGTTTGGAGTGTGTGAGACTAGTTTTAATCTAGAGTTGGGGTGTGTGTGTGTGTGTGTGTGTGTGAGACTTGTTTTAATCTTAGGTTTGGAGTGTGTGAGACTAGTTTAAATCTTGGGTTGGAATGTGTGACACTATTTTTAATCTTGGGTTGGGGTGTGTGAGACTAGTTTTAATCTTGGGTTGGAGTATGTGAGACTAGTTTTAATCTTGGGTTGGAGTGTATGAGACTAGTTTTAATCTAGAGTTGGGGTGTGTGAGACTAGTTTTAATCTAGAGTTGGGGTGTGTGAGACTTGTTTTAATCTAGAGTTGGGGTGCGTGAGACTAGTTTTAATCTAGAGTTGGGGTGCGTGAGACTAGTTTTAATCTAGAGTTGGGGTGTGTGAGACTTGTTTTAATCTAGAGTTGGGGTGCGTGAGACTAGTTTTAATCTAGAGTTGGGGTGCGTGAGACTAGTTTTAATCTTGGGTTGGAGTGTGTGAGACTAGTTTTAATCTTGGGTTGGAGTATGTGAGACTAGTTTTAATCTTGGGTTGGAGTGTATGAGACTAGTTTTAATCTGAGTTGGAGTGTATGAGATTAGTTTTAATCTAGAGTTGGGGTGTGTGAGACTAGTTTTAATCTAGAGTTGGGGTGCGTGTCAGACTAGTTTTAATCTAGAGTTGGGGTGCGTGAGACTAGTTTTAATCTAAAGTTAGGGTGTGTGTGTGTGAGACTTGTTTTAATCTTAGGCTTGGAGTGTGTGAGACTAGTTTTAATCTTGGGTTGGGGTGTGTGAGACTAGTTTTAATCTAGAGTTGGGGTGTGTGAGACTAGTTTTAATCTGGGTTGGGGTGCGTGTCAGACTAGTTTTAATCTAGAGTTGAGGTGTGTGTGAGACTAGTTTTAATCTAGGGTTGAGGGATGTGTCAGACTAGTTTTAATCTGAGTTGGGGTGTGTGTGAGACTTGTTTTAATCTAGAGGTCGGGTGTGTGTGTGAGACTTGTTTTAATCTAGAGTTGGGGTGTGTGTGAGACTTGTTTTAATCTAGAGTTGGGGTGTGTGTCAGACTAGTTTTAATCTAGAGTTGGAGTGCGTGTCAGACTAGTTTTAATCTAGAGTTGGGGTGTGTGTCAGACTAGTTTTAATCTGAGTTGGGGTGTGTGAGACTAGTTTTAATCTAGAGTTGGAGTGTATGAGACTAGTTTTGATCTGAGTTGGGATGTGTCAGACTAGTTTTAATCTAGAGTTGGGGTGTATGAGACTAGTTTTGATCTGAGTTGGGGTGCGTGTCAGACTAGTTTTAATCTTGGGTTGAGGTGTTTGTCAGACTAGTTTTAATCTGAGTTGGGGTGTGTGAGACTAGTTTTAATCTAGAGTTGGAGTGTATGAGACTAGTTTTGATCTGAGTTGGGGTGTGTCAGACTAGTTTTAATCTAGAGTTGGGGTGCGTGTCAGACTAGTTTTAATCTTGGGTTGAGGTGTTTGTCAGACTAGTTTTAATCTGAGTTGGGGTGTGTGAGACTAGTTTTAATCTAGAGTTGGGGTGCCTGTCAGACTAGTTTTAATCTAGAGTTGGGGTGTGTGTCAGACTAGTTTTAATCTAGAGTTGGGGTGTGTGAGACTAGTTTTAATCTAGAGTTGGGGTGCGTGTCAGATTAGACTTAGTCCAAGGTTGGGGTGTGTGTCAGACGT